TATTTCTATTTTGAGCTTTTTGAGGAACCTCCATACTGCTTTCCACAATGGTTGAACTAATTTACATTCCCACCAACAGTGTAGGAGGGTTCCCCTTTCTCCACAACCTCACCAACATTTGTTGTTTGTCTTTTGGATGGTGGCGATCCTTACTGGTGTGAAGTGATATCTCATTGTGGTTTTAATTTGCATTTCTCTGATGACTAGTGATGTGGAGTATCTTTTCATGTGTCTGTTAACCATCTGAATTTCTTCTTTGGAGAACTGTCTGTTCAGTTTCTCTGCCCATTTTTTAATTGGATTGTTCACTTTTTGTTTGTTGAGGTGCGTGAGCTCTTCATATATTTTGGATGTCAACCCTTTATCGGATCTGTCATTTATGAATATATTCTCCCATACTGTAGGATGCCTTTTTGTTCTCTTGATGGTGTCCTTTGCTGTACAGAAGCTTTTTAGTTTGATATAGTCCCACTTGTTCATTTTTGCTTTTGTTTCCCTTGCCTATGGAGACATGTTCATGAAGAAGTTGCTCATGTTTATATTCAAGAGAGTTTTGCCTCTATTTTCTTCTATTCTTCTAATAGTTTTATGGTTTCATAACTTACATTCAGGTCTTTGATCCATTTCGAGTCTACTTTTGTGTATGGAGTTAGACAGTAATCCAGTTTCATTCTCTTGCATGTAGCTGTCCAGTTTTGCCAACACCAGCTGTTGAAGAGGCTCTCATTTCTCCATTGTATATCCATGGCTCCTTTATCGTATATTAATTGACCATATATGCTTGGGTTAATATTTGGACTCTGTATTCTGTTGCACTGGTCTATGGGTCTGTTCTTGTGCCAGTACCAAATTGTCTTGGTTGTTGTGGCTTTGTAGTAGAGCTTGAAGTTGGGAAGCGAGATCCCCCAATGAGAAAATTTAATGCCCCAGTTGAAAAATGGTATGACAGTCTGAATAGATTGTTCACCAAAGAAAATGTACAGAAGGCAGTAAGCATACGAAAAGAGGCTCAAGGCCAGATGTTGTTAGGGAATTGCAAATTAAACAATAATTAGATACCACCACACACTGTTTAGAATGGCTAAAACCCGAAATACCTGTGGGAGCAAATGCACATGATGATTGTCATTCATTGCTGATAGGAGTACAGATGGCATTGTTATTTTGGAATATAGTTTGGCAGTTTCTTACAAAGCTAAGTAAACATATGAGCTTACCATTTGATCTAGCAATCATACTCCGAGATAATTTATCCAAGGGAGTTGAGAACTTACATCCACACAGAAACCTTCACACTAATGTTACAGGAGCTTTATTCATAATTGCCCCCAAATTGGAAGCAGTTATTTTTTTGTGTCCTTCATAGGTGAACAGGTAAACAAATTGTAGTACATACATACAATGGAATATTGATTCAGCACTAAAAATAAATGAGCTATCAACATGAAAAGACATGTAAGAACCATAAATGTATATTGCTAGGTGAAAGACACCGGTCTGAAAAGGCTACATACATAATGTATGATTCAGCTATATAACATTCAGGAAAAGGCAAAACTAGAAACAAAGTGAAAGTGGTTACCAAACCTTTAAGACGAGAGGGAAGAGATGAAAAGGTAAAGTACAATTTTGGGGGCAGTGAAACAAACTATTCTGAAGGTACGCTAAAGGATGTATTTGTCAAAACCTGTGGATATGTACACATAGTGAGCCCTGTTATTAGCTATAGATTTTAGTTAGTAATGTATTAACCTAATTCATCATTTATAACAAATGTACCACACTAATATGAGATGTTAAAAGGGTAAATTGAGTGTGAAGGGAGAAGAGAGTATTTGGGAACTCAGTACTTTCTGAACTTAAATATGCATTGAATACCTAAAATGCCTTGAAAAAAGTATTAATTAGGAAAGGGTACAGAATTGAAAGGGGAGCCCCATGGAAGCCTACTTACAATAATCTGGTCCCTGTTCCTTTTTGAAATATAATTGTTATTTTTTTTGTGCGAGAGTACAAATAAAAACCACCACCACCAATTAAAAAAAAAACACTGAGAAAAATAACTTAAATTCTAGATATTGCAAGAGCAAATTCATGGTTAACCTATTAGTGGTGAGTGTCATAGTCTCAGGAGGGAATCAAAATGTAAAGGAGACGTTTATAACACTTTAATGAGGTGATAAAATTATTTTCCCTTCTGTGGTTACATCAGTTTTGGTCGTCAGAATTTGGAGGCAGGGCATTCCCACTTGGGTAAGCCTGAGAGGTAGACGCCTACCTTGGATGGATCCACCCCATCCTTGGGCTTGTTGTTCTCTTTCCTACATAACTCTTGTTCCAGGTCATGAAATTTCTTGTCTCCTTCAGGGGTATTCAAGTGAATTTTAAAGTAAATTATGGGCCAAATTATAAATGTAGAAAGTGCTGCCATGTAGGGAAGCACCGGAGAATTCCTTTTAAGAGTGAAGTATTCTTTGGTCAAATATGTAACCCTTCCTCCACCCCAGTTATTTTGTAGTAGATTCATATTTCAGCTTAAGTAATTAAAGCCAAGCATACTTACCTTAAGGAGACTTGGCTGTGTTAAGGGTTATTTGTGAGAAAAAATTAGCTTAATAGCACAGAATGATGTGAGTTTATTAATATCTTTCTTCTGCCTGAATTTTGTGTTTAATCTTAGATTTGAAAACTGCAATTCTGCAAAGGTTTTATTTTTGTTCTTTTTCACAGTTTATCAGATTTGGGTTGTGTACAAAAATTTGGCAAATCTGCTTCACTACAATTTTGAAATCTCTGTATTAATCCTCTTTCATTGTTGATTATTATTGTACACTCACCTGAACTTGTTCTGAGTGATAGAGAATAATGTTATTTGGTATTTGCCTAACAGGACATAGTTTAGTAATAGCTGATCCAGTAGGCAGATAAGTAGTCAGAGAAAACCTTTGAAAATGAGAGATAAGTATATGTAGGGATGTATATTCTGTGGTTTGTAGGTGATAATCTAACATTTAATTAATTCAATACATGTAACAAACTTTAATTAGCCACCTACAATGTGCTGAACATTATGTTTACAAAGATAAGACCTTGTCTTAGGTAGTTAGTATCCTGATTTTTTCCATTATTTTCCAACCTACTTGTTTATATAGGTGGAATCATTGATGGTCTGAGTGGTTGTGATTTGTCCCACATCACAATATAGAATTTCTAGTCTAGTATCATTTATTGCCTGTGTTTTTTATAACTTTGTGGTGAAGATTCTGGTTAGTTTTCTTTAATGTACTATCACATGGTTAATCATCGAATTTGTAACTGGTTTTCCAGGTTAACATAGGATAGGAAACTAATAGTTTTATTTTGAAACTCACTACTATATGCAAATACTTATTTTGGTAATTTTGGTGAATTGATAATTGTGCACATGCCAGAAAAATGTGATTATTATCCCAAAGGCATTCCTGGATTAATAAATAGAGTATTTTTACATTATACATAATTATTACATACTTAAAATATGTAATTTGGTTATTCGTATTGGCTGCTATAGGAAAGTTTAAGATATTTTGGATTAAATATGTAAATCTCTGCTATTTAGAAATTTTGTATATTAATAGTGATGCTTGAATGTAGAGGAGGTTAAGTTCAATTAGAAGATTCACACACAAAGATTATGCATAAGTCTGTTATTTGTAAATTAGGTTCAGCCAGTATTTCTATAGCATGGAATATCTCTGAGTTCATGTTTTAGATAATTTGGCTTGCATGTTAAACTCTATTATTAAAATATTGAATGGTTTAAAGGTTGTTTTGAGCTTCATAAACACACATGTACTAGTCTGACTTTATCTGATTTATAAACATTTTTTTCCTTTTGACGTCCTGAGAAATAATGATGTTTATCACCAGAAATCTAGTTTTATGTTTAATGGTTGTAGTTGTTAAAATAGAAAAATATAACTATCATTTGACAGATGGAAAGCAGATATGAACCAAGAGCCAAAACATCACTATAAAATAAAATCGTTGGAGATTATTTTGTCCTGAATGATTCTTTTAAAAACTGCATATTTTTAACTTGGACATTGGTCTTCTTTTAAATTCATAATATGCTTACACTTAGAAAACATTTGAAGGTAGTTATTAGAATTTTAGCTTTATTTTAGGTCTCATGTCTCATTTGTAGAGGTGAGAAGAGCTTTGTAGCATAAACTGCCCATTTTCCTTCATTAACCTGGTTTTGGTTAAGGGAGAAAAAAAACACTTAAGACACCCCATATTATTCTCTTAGTTTGAAATATTCCATGTGGAAGTAATACACTGTCAAACAGTTGTTCAAGAAATTTACTTTGCATACAATTTGTATATATGCACGTGATTTTACTTAAAGCAAAAGTCAAGATTCTTTCCTACCAGTTTACACTGCTCTGAGTACTTTTGCTATTGCATTAGAATTTAGGTATTTAGTAACTAATTAAAAAGACTGTGTAAGTTTTGCTCAAAAAGGTTGGCCTATACAGGTAGCTGTTGATTTATTTACTAATTGTGTTTCATTTTATAGAGGACTACTGAGCCACGCCAGGCCATATGCTGTTGCTGTTAGAAAAAAAAATTATCTTCAAGAGGAGCCTGCTTCTTCTCAAAGAGTGAATGTCAGGGACTTTGACTGGGCTCTAATGAGACTAGAGAATTCTGTCCGAAGAACTGGCCGCATCCCAGAGACTCTTCTGCAAAAAGTCTTTGAGAATACCTGCCACTCAGGTACTTTACAATTTTCTGTACAAAATGTTGAACTTCTTTATAAGTACTTGTTTGGGGGTGAGCTCATCGTAGAGTGCATTATTTGATACTCTTAATTTTGTTTGTTATTTCTTTTGATCATCAAGATTGTGATCTTTCTGTGTTAACCACTCATCAGGGCAAAGTTTCCAGTAACTAAAATATTTTGTTTTAGATATTTTTTTCAAAGTCAGTAAATTAAAAAAAAAAAAACTCAACATGTAAGCACACACGGAGTTTTTATATGTAGTTTCAGAGCATTCACCAGCTTCCTGAAGCCTATCTGTGAATTTCAGTCACATTAAGAAGCTGTAGAATCTAATGATGAGAGATAACAAAGAAGTAGCAGTTACACTTGTATACATATAAAGTCTGTTTTATCGTTTTCTTTTATGAGTTGTACAACTGTCATCACAATTTAAGAATATTTTTATCACCTCAAAAGGAAACCTCCATACCACTAACCATCAGTCCCTAACCCCCCATCCCTTCCAGCCCTAGGCAACCACTAGTGTACTTTCTGTCCTTGTGGATTTGCTTTTATTCTAGATACTTTATATAAATGGAATGATACAATAAGTGATTTATTTTGTGCTAAAGTTGGCTTTTGGGGACATCTAAATGAAGGTCCTGGATAAAGGGAGAAGGAAGTTTATATTATTTTATGTCTGATTATAAACCTAAATTTGATACTCATGGGTTTTAATTTTACTGCTTTGTACTATTTTCATAAGATACTGAGACACTTAGCCTTTGAATTGGCAATAAGCACTGCTTTATAAATTAGGTTCTTTGTATTTTTATGTTCTGTGGAGTCTTGTAGGTTATATAGGTTGATGACCTTAAGAAAGCAGACTAGTTTTAAAAAGATAACTTTTAGTAATATTTTAAATGATACTTGTAGATTAAGATAGCATTTTTTCAGTTTATGGGTATACTCTCTTAATATTATCTTTAGTGAGGTAGTAAATTTTTGAATTTTTATAAATTTCAGTTTAAGTGTTTGTATTTATCTGTATGATACCGGTACTGTGTTAAACATTGTCCGTTAACCTTTTTCCATAGGTAACCCAGGAAGTAATCAAGCATTGCTTCTGCTGCGCAGCTGTGGCTCTCTCTTGCCTGAACTAAAGCTCTCAGATAGAACAGAATTAGCTCATAGGATATGGAGCAAACTTCAGAAATTGGGTATGATTATTTAAATATATAAAAGGTTTATATATAAAAGATGTGATTTTTTTAGCAAAAAAACTTCTTTACTTAAATGTTATAGTTCAATTTTATGGAAAGGGTACTCGATTCATAGTTTTTTTTTATAATATCATTTGGTGAGTTACAGTGACATCTAGGGGCATTAAGAATGAAATAATTATAATAAGTATTACTTTTTGGATATGTTAGAGAGAAAGGAACAAAACAAAAAGTCTTTTGGTCTGTCAAAATTATAAATGCATGTACCATTTGACAAGTAGTTCCACTTCTGAGAATTTAGATGCAGATATGCTCACATGTGCAAAAAGATATTCTTCATTGTAGCTTGTTTGTAATAGTAAGAAATTGGAACCAACTCTGTTGTCCCTGTGTAGAGGATTGGTTAGATAAATTATAAAGTCTTCATAAAAAGGAATACTGTGCAACTATTAAAAAATTAAAGGAGTTCTTTATATACTAATGTGGGGTACTCTCCAAATATAAATAAAAATTAAGATGCAGAACATCATGTATAGTATTCTCCTATTTTGAAGAAAAATGTTTATGTGTATATGTAAACAATATTAAAATATTTCCAGAAGGATGAAAAATACTAGATAAAATTTTTACCCTGTATTTTTTATACTTTAAAATTTTTTAAACTCTGAGCATATTATCTATTAAAAAAATTAAGTAATTTAAAAGACCATTTGATAAAATACAGTGTTCATTTCTGATTTTAAAAAACCTTAACAAAGAATAGAAGATGCTTCTTTAACATGTTAAGATCTAAATCCAACAACTAATGTTCAGATATATTGGCAAGGAAGTAATATGTGAAATAATTCTAGGATTTACTATTTTTTAGGTAATGTGCTTGTTTACCTGTAAAATTCCAGAAAATCAACTTACAATAAAGCTTTTGGGAATATTAAATGTTTAAGAATCCATAATTTTACCTAGTTAGAAAGTAAAATGGATAAAGGGATCCAAGTATAGCGACAAATATATAAAATATCTAGGAATGTCCTTTAAGAAATGTGCTGCACCTATATGAAAACAACTTTGGAATAAAGATGGAGTCACACCTCAGTTTTAAGTTCATCTGTAATTTGATTCTAAGTTCATTTTTTTAAAGTTTAAAAACATAAAAATAAATCTTGGATTGCAGAGTGGAAAAGGGTTTTCTAGTGAGCAGCAGAGAAGTGAAGGTAAGAATTGACTGCATAAAAACTATGGAGATTTCTATATTCTCAGTCACATAATTTTAAAAAGTATGTTGAATTTCTGTTGAATTTAAGAAGGTAGTTGCAAAAAAGGTTATATTCTAACATAGAACAGCCCTTAGCAGTCATAACAGTACCTCAGTAGAAAGGTAGACATGTATTACTTTCTAATTATAATTATTCAAAAACATGTCTTTTCCTCTGTACTATATCCTTTTGTGAGAGTGGAATCCATAACTTCTTTTCCTCTTTGCCAGTAGCATGATGCTTTGTACATATTGCACTTGATAATACTTCTTGAATTAATAGTGCCAGAAGCCTGGTAGATTGCCAGTATGATACTTGTTCACAGACTTGCAAAGCTGTAAGATATTTTAGCTTAGACAACGTGTCCAAAGTTACAGTATGAGCTATTGACAGGTCTGAGACTGGAAATGAGATATCCAGACTGCAGGGCATTCTGGAGGAAGCATTGGAAATGATAGAATCTCATTACAGGGTAGCCGTATACTAAACTTAAAAAAATAGAATTCTGCCATGTTTCTTTGGCCACACCACAATAATATATAACTGAGTTTTTTACTTAAATTTTAGACAGATGTAGATTTTAATTCATATTATAAAAGATACAATATATAGTTTAAAAAAATTCTTTATTTTTCAAGAAGTGACTTGTGAAATAAATGACATAATAGTAAGTATAGGCAACACCCAAAAAGCAAATAACCCTATTAAAAAATGAGCACAGGATATGAACGAGACACTTCTCCAAAGAAGAAATTCAGATGCCAACAGGCACATGAAAAGATGCTCCACATCACTAATTATCAGGAAAATGCAAATTAAAACCACAATGAGATACCACCTCACACCAGTTAGGATGGCCAACATAGAAAAGACTAGGAACAACAAATGCTGACGAGGATGTGGAGAAAGGGGAACCCTCCTCAACCATTGTGGAAAGCAATATGGAGGTTCCTCAAAAAACTAAAAATAGAAATACCATTTGGCCTGGGAATTCCACTCCTGGGAATTTACCCAATGAAAACAAGTTCTAAGAGTCAAAAAGACATATGCACCCCTATTTTATTGTAGCACTATTTACAATAGCCAAGATATGGAAGCAACCAAAGTGTCCATCAGATGAATGAATAAAGAAGATGTGATACATATACACAGTGAAATACTATTCAGCCATAAGAAAGAAACAAATCCTACCATTTGCAACAACATGGATGGAGCTAGAGGATATTATGCTCAGTGAAATAAGTCAGGCAGAGAAAGACAAATACCAAATGATATCCCTCATTTGTGGAGTGTAACAGTGAAGCAAAACTGAAGGAAAAAAATAGCAGCAGACTCACAGACTCCAATAAGGAACTAGGTGTTACCAAAGGGGAGGGTTGGGAGGAGGGTAGATGGGGAGGGAGGGGGGGAGAAGGGGATTGTGGGGTATCATGATTGGTGCACATGGTGTGTGTGGGGTCACAGGGAAGATAGTGTAGCTCAGAGAAGATACATAGGGTCTCTGTGGCATCTTACTACACTGATGGACAGTGACTGCAATTGGATATGGGGAAGGACTCGATAATAAGGGTAATATAATAACCACACTGTTTTTCTTGTGAAACCTTCATAAGAGTGTGTATTAATGATACCTTAATAAAAAAAAATAGTAAGTATGGGGATAGAAATTTTACTAAAGTTCAACAAAACATTTTTCTCATCCGTAGAACTATGCCAGTGTGGCAGAAATAAAGAAAGAAAACCTAGTAGAGTTATGTTGAACATTGCTCTTGACTAAAATCTTTATGAAAAGCCAGAGCAGATGTTAATTATCTAGGTTTAGAGCAGTATCCTTAGCTTCTCCAACAACCGGCATGAATGCCTTTACAAATTTATGGAATGTATTTTCCTTCAGCCTTACAGCTATAGCCAACCATTATTAGAGTTCAGCTTGAGTTGATTATTTTTTTTTAGTTTTCAGACACTATAAAGGTAACATTGCTGCATAACGATATTGCAGATGTTGAATTACACATGGTTCCCTGTTAGGCCCTGTGTTAAGTACTAGCATGGTTAAGAGATAGGGCTCTAGAGGCAGACCACCTACATTCAAATATATGTCACTTACTAGCCATGTGGCCTTAGGAAAGTGGGTGAGTTAGTTTTCTCATCTGTAAGATGACTATGATAATAGTACCTGCCTCAGAGCTATTGTGAAGAGTAGCTAAACCTCTCTGTGTCTGAAACACAGTAAGCACTTTAAGATAAAAACAAGTATTAGGTTAATAGAGCAGGTCTCTGCTGCCCAGAATCTCAAACTGACACTAGATGTTGACCACAGGCCTGTGTGACCACAGGCAGTTAAATAAAGATATTACATTTCATTCATGAAAATTGGTTAAAGTACGTTAGCACTAGATGGTTATGATGAACATGGTGTCATAGGTGAGTAGAGTAAGGCTGAGTGGTAGCTTTAAGTGATGAGGCTTGAGGGAAGACAGACACAGAAAGAAAACACAGGGCATTGAAGTACAGGTAATTAACTACAGCAGACCAGAAATGGTGTTCAGCAACTGGAAATGGTGTGGAAATGGAGTCTACAAAGACTTTGGGTAACCTGGTTAGTAAATAAATTGCCAGTATAGTCCTATCTCTATAAAATAACTGCTGTCACAATCCATCCATGTCAGTGTGTCTGTAAGGTGGCAAGGACTGCTTTATATAAGAAAAATCTTTCAGTTACTTTAAATACAGGGGTATTTTCAGCATTTTTCTATCAGGAAGGGAATACTGTGGTTCATAAGTAAGAGAGCTCTTAATATCTGGTTAGGCAGTTACTTGTAACTACAGTAATTCAGTAATTACTGCCTTATATGCTTAGTTTACTGTGTTCTGACAGGTTTTCTGTAAGATGGGTCTGTGTCTGTGTTGAAAAGCTGAAGTGATCATTTTTCCCTTTATGTTTGTTAAATTTAAGTGCGCATATTTTAGTTGTGATAAAGGATATGATTTTAAGTGCTTTTCAAAAAATCTGACTTAAATTTCATTTGTAGGTACTGTTTATGATGTAAGTCACTATAATGCTTTGCTTAAAGTCTATCTTCAAAATGAACATACATTTTCACCAACTGACTTCTTGGAAAAAATGGAGAAAGCAAACATTCAACCAAATCGAGTAAGTACTTGATACTATAAATGTTTACTGGTTACATCAATTTTTTGTTTTTTTGTTTTTACTCAGAAAAAAATACTAAAAAATATCAACTGGCCCATCTCATTGACAGGTGACATACCAGAGGCTGATTGCTGCTTATTGTAATGTAGGAGATATTGAAGGTGCCAGGTATGGAGCTCTATAAATGTATGTTTAAGTAAACATATTTGTAATTCTTTTAAACCTAGAACATATTCACTCTTTTGTAGACATTTGTTCTGAAGGGAAACTATTTCAAAAGTATTTTAATCTGGTAAATTTGATAATATGACTTAAATAATATATGAAATTGTGTAAGAGGAGAAAGATAAGTGAAATTTGCTATTTTAATTAAAAATATGATTTACTGAAGCAGAAGTTTAAAGTTGGTGAAGTATAAAGCTGGCTTTCCCAGTGATTCTGTAACATCTTTCTGTGTTGACAGATAGTAACTGTGCTAGTTGTGGTGAGGATTTAGTAATACAAGTAACTGTTGAGCCACTGTATTGTATACTTGAAACCAATAAAAAATTGTATATCAACTATAGTGCAGTTAAAAAAATAAAGAAAAAAATATGCCCAACATGGCATAATTCCCATTGTTAAAAAAAATTTTTTCATCCTAAGAAAAAATTCTGGGACTATATGTGATGGCAGATGTTAACTACATGTGTTGTGCTGATTTCACAATATATACAAATATTGAATCATTATGTTACACATCTAAAACTAATATAATATATGTCAGTTTTGCCTCAATAAAAATAAATAAATAATGGTGTATTAAAAAAATTAAGCTGCTTTCCTTTTTTTAAAAATTGATACTTCATAAAGGAAATGTTGTTAGCCATTTAAACTGTATTGACTAATAAAACTGGTAATGTTCCCTTTATCTTGCTGATTCATATAAAATCAGTTGGTATTTTTCTGCTTGTATGAAATTCATTACTACTTTTGGCTGGAGGCTTAGGAAATAAGACATAAATTGAAAAGTACAAACTCATTTTTAAGTGAATCTTATTAAACTTAGGTATTTTATAAGTTAATTAGCAGTATAGAAGAAATTTTTTTTTTTTTAAGACTATGGATATAATTTCAGGGAGAGTTCTGTGTACTTGTAAAAAGTGTTTTTGGTATATAGTTCCAAGAAGTATTTTCATTTCTCTTTTATTGCAGCAAGATTCTTGGATTTATGAAAACTAAGGATCTTCCAGTCACAGAGGCAGTTTTCAGTGCCCTCGTCACAGGGCATGCAAGAGCTGGGTAATGTTCAGCCTAAGGTTCTGTTCTCAAGCGAGGTTTAAATTATAGAAAATTATTATAGAAAATTCTTGAGCTATGTTTATTTACTCCCTCAACAATCTTGAGAGTGTGGGGTAGAACATGCTAATTTTAAAATAACTTATTCTTAAATTTATCTGTTTCATAAAACTTTTATTTGAAAATTTCCCATTTTAAAAATGGGGCCTGATCCAAAGTATTTGTCTTTGTAAAAATTTATTAGCTGTTCTGCTGGTACACTGGATAAAATTTTAGTTTTTGAGGAAAATTTTCACAAATGTTGTTCTTCCATAGGAAGGTAAATTTGAGTCATGACATACTTAGTGAGAGACGGTACTTTACTTAATGTAATTATTGTGCAGTTTGGTTTCTTTTTTGGAAGAGTATCTTGTAAAAATTTGGGATATTTACAGTCTTTATTATTTCAGAAACCTACAACCATTTCAATATGTATTTATCTTTTTCTGATGTTATGGTTCGGATACTTAAGAATTTCTTATTTTATTAGGCATAGGGCAGTACATTTTAGATTGAATGATATATTACCGTGGTAGTAGTATGCTAATCTGTTTGCTTTGAATTAACTTACAGAGATATGGAGAATGCAGAAAATATTCTCACAATAATGAAAGAGGCTGGAATTGACCCTGGCTCAGACACATACGTAGCCTTGTTGAATGCATATGCTGAGAAGGGTGATATTGACCATGTTAAGCAGGTAAAACTTATGTTTTGTAAATAAATGTAATTTAAAAATCATTTTTATAAACCTGTTAGGTTTTGCATGAAGCAGAAAAGTGTATTTGGTATCTGCTTTTAATGATAATATCTCTTAGTAGTGAAGGAAAATTATATTATAGTTTGGTACCTTGGTATTGATGTAATGATTACTTTTTTTTTTTTTTTTTTTT